GAGAACATAAAAAAATTGCCGTTATTTAGAAATAATTTTGTATGTATTTCAAAAAGAAACATTCCTGAAAAAATTTCCGCCGTTTAGAGATGGCCGTCATTGAATGTTTGACTATGATAACATATAAAAACTTAGCCATATAAATGACCTTTGACCAATTCAGTAATAGAGATTTTTATTTTATTGTTGTGTAACCTCATTTTAATGGCCATTATAGAAACAAAGGTTTTACTTACACGTCACGTTCGTAGCAACATTTGGCAAATAATTCTCACATATTATCACATGACCTATTCATTGTAAACTATATTTCAGGGTGTGGCTTAGATATGTCTAACCATCAACTTTGAATGCGTAATTTACAAAAACAGCAACTGTAATTTGTATAAAATTGCAAATAAAAAATTAAATAGAATCATATTTTTTTCAACTATGAGTTGTTACATTTATTTCTGCGAATCTTTTTAAAATGGAGTCTAAGTTATAACAGAATTTTATATAAATATATATTTAATAATAAAAACACTGACCACAAGTAATTTGTTTTTTTACAACGCTAATTTATTGAATTCCAGTAAAAAGGGATGTGATGGAGGGTCACTTGTACTGTAATTTTTGCTATCTTTTAATATTTTTTATTACATTTTGCATGTAATTTATATCTTTATACAGAAATGTTGTCTCCTATTAATTTTTCTCTTTTAACTTCTATAAATAAACTACTCTTTATAAAATATCTAAAAAATAAGAAAATTGTATCTAAATATAATTATTTTCTTTTGTTCAAATTAATTTAAAATAAGTAATAAATGCAGAAATTATATATATATTTAATACACATTGAGTTGACGTTATCAGCTCAATAAAAATAAGTTTTTAAAATTGTGAGAACATTTTACTGAACTCAACTCTATATTAGGGAAAAATAATTGTTTAGTTACTAAATTTACTCTTTTCGTTTATCTCAGTTAATATAGATTTAAGGAAATAAAGCCAATAGAAATATATTTTTCCAATTTTAGAAATGTAATAAGATAAAATATGAAAATGTATATCATATAACTCCCATGGTACCTTCAATTGTATTGCATCCTGCACTGGCATATATTAGAAAACAAGGAAAGGTATTAATTCTTTTTTAATTTTTTAATCCTTTTAACTAAACTATTAGGTGTTAACATACACACAGTAGCCGAGTGAATAAAACCACTTCACGCTATAAGTTGGTGGCGTGCTCGCGCCTGGCTAATGAGCTAGCCAAGTAGAGTTTTCCAAATTTCTTCACGTGTCTAACAATTAAAGAGGAGCTAATTTTCCATAGAAAGTCCTCCTGGAAGGCATAAATTCATCCCCTTGATAAATTAACCACGTGTTATATTATATTCCCCATCACTCTTCTTAACATTTGTAATTTCTTATGAATTGATCTAGAAACGTTATAAACTTTATTTAACCTTNTATTTATAGGTGATATTTATAAAATAATTTATGTAACTAATGTCCTATACATGGGTTTTTTAAATTCGCTATATACCTACGAATAAACTGATACCAATTTTTCTTTTAGACACAAATACTGAGTTGAGACATATCGACCTGAATACCTCTAACTTCTAGTAATTACGAAGAAAATGACGAGATTGTAAAATTGAATGCTTTCTTACGAACCAAGTTATTCAAAAATAAAACAATTAATGATTGAATTATATTCCTAATGTAACACTTAAAATTGCAATATATGTGCATACATATCCACGTGAAAATTTCAGTTACATGCACTGCTATATGCAATATTGGACTTTCAATTTGAAATAATTGTAGGCTTATAAATTTCCACTGTCGTCCGTTCGTCTGTTTGTCTTTCCATAATCTCAAGAACTGAGTTAGAAAGATGAAAGACGAGACCAAATGTGGAAAGCTTAGGAGCAGAAGGACCCGATTAGCTATATAAGAACTTCCAATACAAATTGGAAATCAGGTTATTTATTTCAAATCTTCCCCTGAAAGCAGTTAATAGATGACCGGCACGACTCTATTGTTAAAGAAAAAGTATTCTATATAGAGACAATCCACTACTAATTTGAGATGGAGAGCATATATTTTAAATGAAATGATTTAAAAATATGATTAAAAATTGAAGTTCGGCTTTTGTGACGATGTTACAATAAATATATGCTCGTATATCATTACAAATGAGTAAACGCTTTTATTAATTAATTATATATTTAATGTGGAAGTTGATAGAAATGTTTCGTTCCCAACTGATTTCATGAACTCTGCTATATTGGCACATTTTGATGCTTCATGGGTTCCAAGAGAATTTGAATTAGGGGGCTCTATGTATAGTGTTGACTTGACTTCAGACATTTTTTTGGGGGGAAATGTTTTTGGAAAAATATTTTTTTTTTAAATAAAAGATTGGTTTGCGACCCCAAGAAATTTTTATCCTTTTTGCCCATAGGATAATGCGTTACTATATAAAGGAATCTTTTCTGAGCATCATTTTTAAAAAGTATTTAAAATATACATTATTGAACAACCTTAATTTGAATCAAAATCGAATTTATATCGAGATTCCAACAGGAACCTCGATATAAATACGATTTGGCATTCCATATCATGGCATTTAAGAAAAAAAGATCTTGCATGGACATACAAATCCTTTCCTTAATAATTAAAAAAATGGTAAAAGAAATTGTCTTAGCTTAACGAGTTATATAACTATAAATTGCATGTTTAGACGGGAAAAGAAACAATGACCCAGACGAAAAAATCCGCTGAACCCGAATTTTTTTTTGTTTGGTTCATTGTTTCTTTGTACTTTTGTTGTGTCTGTTGGCTCCGGGTAAGAAAGGAACTCACGTCTTTCAAATTCATGTCGAACACATTAGCCGTTTATACTACCAGCATTTCCTCTCATCTTTTAAAAAAGTATTTAACCTTGCCTTAGGAAACTTAATGTTAATCATATATGTTCAACAACCTAACCTAGTAGAACCTGTGCATTCCTTGTCGTGATGCTTCTTNCAAATTCATGTCGAACACATTAGCCGTTTATACTACCAGCATTTCCTCTCATCTTTTAAAAAAGTATTTAACCTTGCCTTAGGAAACTTAATGTTAATCATATATGTTCAACAACCTAACCTAGTAGAACCTGTGCATTCCTTGTCGTGAGGCTTCTTTTAAAAGTTAATTTCCACGTAATTACTCCGTAAAAATATTTAAAAAAATTTTTTTGTGTTGAAAATAAGTTAACATGACGACATAATTTCATTATATTCATAAAGGAACAAAATTAAAATAACAGACAATTAATTCTTAAAATTAATGAATTTTGACCGTTCTATTAAGAAAATAACTAAAAATGTTTGCGACACAATACATATGTAAGGAATTGATTGGATTGGATTGAGGAATTAAAGCAATGATTCACTTGGGGGATCTGTCAGGAGAAGATGCCTCACCGAGGGGGGAATTTCTATGGGAAACTGGCCCATATTTAGGTGTATTGTTGTGAAGCAAAGTAGGAAAACTCTAGTGTCCCAGCCATTGGTTAGGTGCGAACTCACGAACTACTAAGTATTCAGCGATTTTATCCACTTGATCTCTGGTGGATCTCCCTGAGATGAGAAACTTCTGCAAGATATTTGATTTGGAGAATAAATACTTTCTTTAATTAAACTTTTTAAATTTTTTCCGCAATTTTCATTCTTTAAAAACACTGAAATCCTAATAAAATCGTACCAATATCAAATTTAAAGGTATAATTATGTACTTTTTATAATGAGCAATGAACATGTACGATTTTTTTTTCTTGATCGCTTCAGTTGTATGTAAATATTGACTAAAATACAGGTTAGAAATAGAATGGCCTTATTTTCTTAAATAGAAAAAACAAATTTTTTATGGGGTGAGGAAATGAGAATTAAAGGAAACCTCTGATGTATTCAGAATGTTCAGTGGAAAAATTGCAAAGATCGTTATGGAATCGAAACGAATATGCTCAAAGGATGAAAGGAATTGAAGACCTAAAAGAATATCTAAAATATTATTTTTATATCATTCATGTAATTTTATACTCTTTTTTATTAAGATAACCAATAAATGAAATGGAAAATGTAATTGAAAAATAATATCCTGAATGTTTCCAAGTTTCATTTTGTATTGATGTGTATTTAAGTTACTGCAAGTGTTAAACGTCATTGTAGATATTCATCAATTTATATTTATCTTTCTTTGTACTTCTATTTGTTTTATTAATAGAATTATATAACATGATACGCATGGACGTCCGTAGGAAATTTTCCAGAGGATAAACTTGGAGACAAATAATTACATCAATAAATTTTTATTCTTATTACTTGAATTTTTTTCACAAGTAGATTATAGAATATAATATTGCGTCAAAGCGTCCCACGGTTGAGGGTGTAAGGTTACTTTTACTATTATCATTTGTGGAATATTGTACTCGATTCTAGTGGAGAAAAGGTGCCCGAAAAATTACTCCAAATCAAATATATTATTCAGAAAAACTGTTAGAACATTCTGAGAGTGGACTCTTGCCATTTAATGTCTTCTCTAGGTATTAAAGATTAGGTTTATTTTTACGGCAACAGGACACACGGGTGATCTGCCGAAAAGAGATGCCTCCCGGAGCACTTCCTTTGGGAAATTGGCCCCTATTTAGGTGTTACAAACGTAAATAAAACACGGAAACCACGTGATCTGATCGTTGACGAGGAGCAAACCTGCGAACCCACGACCATTGTTCAGTGGTTTCATCTACTCGGCCGAGTGGATAAATTTCTGAACACTGGTGGTCCTCTAAGTATTAAAGAATTCATTTATAATTACAATTAGCCCAAATCCAATACAACATGCTACTAATTTATATTAAAACAATGAGAAAATACATTAACATAATGACATTTTGATAAAGCTTCGTGTTTGTTTTACAGCGCAAATTGGTGTTTTAAGTAATTAAATTTTCTTTTTAGTTGGAGGAGGTTCTGCAGGAGCTGTTCTAGCCAACCGCCTCTCTGAAGATAAAGATGTCACTGTACTACTACTAGAAGCAGGGACTAATGAGAATTACGTTACGGACATTCCAGTACTTGCTGCCTTTCTACAACTATCACCATTAGATTGGGGATATGAAACTGTAACTCAGGAAGCCTCTTGTTTTGGGTTACTTGGAAGAGTACGTATCGAACAAAAGTATATATTTTTTCCATTTATGGATATTTATAGTCGTCATAAATAACCTCAATATTCTATATTGCAGAAAAGTCGATGGCCCAGAGGAAAAGTACTCGGTGGAAGCAGCGTATTAAATTATATGTTATATATCAGAGGAAATAGATATGATTACGATATTTGGGCTGCAAATGGTGCAACTGGTTGGAGTTGGAAAGATGTATATCCGTATTTCTTAAAATCAGAAGATAACAGAGATCCTTCTGTAGTCAGAAATGGTACATTTCATAATGAATTTAATACAAACTCTCTCATTAAAAACATAATTTGCAGAATTGTAACTGTGGACTATCTTTTAAATACAGGATTCCACAACACAGGAGGATACTTGACGGTGTCCACACCACCTTATGCAACACCGTTAGCTCATGCTTTTGTAGATGCTGGAAAAGCTATGGGCTATCATAATGTAGATCCCAATGGTGCTTTTCAAACCGGTATTTGACATTTTCACATTTTTTCTCTATGATGTATTCAGAAAAATGTATGAAAATGGACCAAATTTTCATTATGTAATTAGATTAAAGAATGCAATCTGAATTTTCAGGATTCACTATACCTCAGGGCACTCTACGAAGAGGGGCACGATGTAGTACTGCCAAAGCTTTTCTCAGGCCAGCCAAAAAACGAAAAAATTTAGATATCGTCAATCAAGCATTTGTCACTAAAGTAAGATTTTTAAATTCTTTGTTGAAAGAAATATAACGCATTTTAAAATATTTTAAACGCTGTTTTAAATTTTTCAGATCCATTTTGATAAATGGAAACGAGCCAGAGCTGTCGAGTTCGATCGAGTCGGTTTAACTCATATCGTAAAAAGTCGGATAGAAATCATTGTCTCGGCAGGAGCCATCAATTCTCCTCAACTTTTAATGCTATCTGGCATCGGTCCTAAACATCATTTAAGAGAAATGGGAGTAAGTAGTTACGTGAATATCGTAGCGAGTCTTTGTTATGATAGGCGCCAAGATTCTGTTTATGAGTAATCGAGTTTAAATGCCACTCAAATTTTATTTTAATAAATTAATAAAAAGAAATATTTCACATTTTACATCACTGCTTCATAAAAGATCTTTTTTGGACTTTCCGCTCTGTGAGGGTCTTCTAACAGGCTCATTAAAGATGGCCCGTAATGGGTTGCCGGATGGTCAGGAACGGGGTCCGAAATATTTATGAAAATTATTAGGTCTGGATTCGAACTCACACCTAGAGCCTCAGGCCTCGGCCATCTTTAATTAAAAAAACTGTTTTATTGGAGAATTTCAATCTTTTATAGATAAAAATTACTTTAATTTAATAGAGATATTCTGTCTTAAATTATATTTGAAGGAAAAGTTGTACTTTATAATTTTAAGTAGAAAAAATAAAGCGTTTTGGTTGATTGCACGGAAATATTTCACCGTTAAGTTGTCCATTTCTCATGATTATCGCATTGGCCTCAAGCGATTCAATGCAAACAACTGACTATTACTGTCAATATAAGACACTGTAATGACATCGTATAATATAAAATAAGGATATTGTCATTTCGTTTTATCATCTCAATCTTATTTCATTATGCTGCCGTGATTTATTTTCTTATTTTATTCCTAATAAATAAAAATTCACATAAAATTGCAACCATTGTCAACTGCATTAAAATTTATCGATTGTGTTATTGCACGATTGTATTCGCATCCGTAAGGGAATTAGAACCAAACAATAGCCACAAGTAACTTTATAGTTCGCCACTATTAAGAAAAATAAGCGTTAGCTTGGGGCCTGAGCATAAGAATTTCCAAATAGAATAGTGATAATTGTATGCAAATTATAAAGATAATCGGATTACCGAGATGAGATATGTATGAGCTTGTTACTTTGCAGGATCCAGGTTCGAGGTCGATTTCATAGGCGAATTCTTCCAGATATATTGGGTCTTTTCCGCTTGACAACAGATGGTTTATTGTGGGTCTTACCGAATCATGATGAGCGTTGATAAATATATCTTAATGCACACATTAGCGAAAAGAATTTTTAAAAATAGAGCAAGAAAGTTTAAGAGATCCTGAGATTACTTAGTTGATAAGTGTAGGAATTCTCTCAAAGGTACGTCCACCAATGAAAAGTGGATGAAACCATTAAAAACTGGAAGTTAGTCGCGGGTTCGCACGTGGCCACGTGGAGTCTTCCGGGTTTTCTTCACATATCTATCATCTAAACAGAGGCCAATTTCCCACAGAAAGTCCTGCAAAGAGGCATCTCTCTCCTTGGCAAATACCCATGTATTGCGTTGCTTATCCCATTAATCCAATCCAATCCTCTGGTTGTTACTTGTAATTCTTTGTTGTTTTTTTATTTTAGGTAAGAAGTTATTATTGACAATAATTATAAGATTAATTTTTGTTATCAATGATTTGTGGATTTATTCATGGAAAAAGTCTTTCCTTGAAAATTACAATCTACTAATCAGTGTGATCTAGTCATAAAGCATGCGGTTGATAAGAAACCTGGTAGAAAATTAATTATTTTTGGATTTTTATTTTATGTAAATTTTCCTTTTAGGCCAAATTATGAAGGGCATCGAAGAATTGTTATCTTTCAAAATACTAATCATTTTTATTTTTCACGAAATTATAGAGTGAAATAAATTTTATTTCCTATCAAATCAGATCAGATGTAAAATAATTGCTTTAAATTTTTTCGGAATAACTTTTAAATTTTAGAAACCTTTTTTTTTCTGTTGTACTACAACAGTAAAAACCTACTTTTTGTACTACAAAATTTAATTATTCTAATTAAAAAACTGGAATAATTAAATATATTGACATTTACTATCGTTCTTAGTCAGGTCAATGAACGTACAGTACAAGAAATATGGGGCCCACCAGTGGCAGAGTGGATAAAACCACAGAATACTGGTAGTCGGTCACTGATTGACCAATGGGCCTGCCACGTGGAGTATACTGGTTTTGTTCACGTGTCTAGCGCCTAAATTTGGGTCAGATTCTAGGTCCTTTCGGGCACCACCTTGACAGATTGTCCATGTGTTTACTTGGAGATTACTCTGTATTTTTTAGATTTTTTTAATTGTTAGAATCAGTTTCAGTTAGAAAACCTGACATTTTTAGCATCTGGAAATCCAAACCTCACTGTTTTCTGATCAAATATTTGCTCTCAGTTTATTGTGTACAGTACAGGTTTACATTACTGAATAGTTATATAATAGTTTTAAGAACAGGTTTAATTACAGAAACATTTTTACTCTGCATTAAACCTTACACATATAATCGTCTTACAAATAAGTCCTAATATAACGCCAGTGATGAAATCTGGGAATTTGGTATTCGAATTAAGCGTTATACCAAGTACAGTATAAAGAAATACAATGTGTTTTAATTATAGGAATTTGAAAGATTGCGATCGTGTTCTATAAAGCAATGTTATATCGAATCAACATTGTATTTAGATTGAAGTTATTAAACCCATAATATTTTAACTGATAACATTTTGATATCATCATAGAGTTTGTTTCATATAAAATAAATCGATATTCGATTTGAAATTTTAATTAAATAGGTTAATACTTTCTATAAATGTCACGCCTTAGTTATTAATGTTCATCTGTTATCATCAATAATTACTTGATTTCCAAGCGTTTTACAGTATTATTTATATATCTTATTGTGNGGAGCTAAATGAAGTTCCTGTACCAAAGGCAATCAGAAGCTAATGAAATTCCTGTAACAAAGCAATCAGGAGCAAATGAAATCACTGTAACAAAAACAATCCAGGAGAAATAAGAATTAGTAGCAAATCAAAATATCTTTCTACCTGTTACATATCATGTTCACACGTTCTAAAATTTCATTAGGATTCATGTTCATAGCTCCTGATTGCCTTTGCTACAGGAACTTCATTTAGCTCTTGATTGCTTAGTTACAGGGATTTCATTAGCTCCTGATTGCTTTGTTACAGGGATTTCATTAGCTACCTGAAATACATGAAGCACGGTTAACTGACTTTTGGGATACTTTTTTATATTTAAAGTGATAATTTAAACAGATATTAATTAGTCTTTACAAAGAAATATATACGAGTAACAATTTCTGATACATTATTTTTAGAAATAATAAATACAGGTAAATAGCACAAGTTAAAACAGGATTTTGTTTAATTTGTAAAATAAATATTTTCATTAGCAACAGTTTGTTTCTGGAAACTGGTTGCTAATTAACTGATTAAAATACATTAGCTTAGTTTTTTTCCTGTTTCTAACTTGTCAATAACTAGAGACAATTCATTCTCTTGTTCTTTACATTTTACATTAGAGGAAAGGTCATTCAATTTTCTATGGCACAAAGGAATGTGATTACAAGTTTATCTAAAGTCAAATTCGAATACAGTAAATTGGAAATTGGATTAAGATGAAAGAATTTATAAATAGAACATCTAAAAAAATAAATTTTCCTTAAAATGCCAAAGAATATTTAAATGCATTTTTTCGAAGAGGATAAATCTATTCATAAGAATTTTTTGATTTACATTTATTTACAATTATGAAAAAAGTATTATGTAAGTTTTTTATCGATTTAATTTTATAATGCAAGCATTTATAACTTTACCTTTTGTATCACTACGGGGTAAATTATCTTTTCTATCTACTATACTTGTCAAAAATACTTTTACCTTGTTAGGGTTTGTGAAAATGCTTTTGGTTTGTTGCTTAAAATAGTAAGTAGATTACACAAACTGGGAATGTTTAGCATCACTCACGTTACTTCGCCTCTGTAATTAACTTAAAAATGTTTTTATTTAAACCGTAAATCAAATAGATGCCCTTTAATCATGCTTCTAATTGACCAGGCCCTTAATTGAACTGGCCGGCTAAGAGGAGAGGGCATTTTAATCGTGCTTCTAATTGAATAGACTCATAATGGAATTGGCAGGATAATAGGAGATGAATCTCTTAATCTGATTCTAATTGACAGGCCCATAAGGAATTGGCCAGGTAAGGGGAGAGAGGCCTTTAAACCGTGCTTCTAATTGATAGGTCCATATTGGTATTGGCCGGGTAAGGAAAGAAGGTCTTTTAATCATTTAATTGAGCAAGTCCATAATAGAAGTGACCAGGTGAGAGAGAAGTGGTGTTTAATTTGAAATTAGGGGAAACAAATTCCTTTACTCGATGCGGTAAAGGCTCGGCTTTCCTGAAAGTGGCAAACTGGTACGTTTACCAACTCGGCTATCAAATAATTTTTTTATATTAATAAATATAGAAGAGGTTCCTCTAGCGCTGAATTTTCCTTTCGATTTCAAACTATACACATGATATTTATATACTAGAAAGCAACGACACAGGAGTAATAGGACTAGTTAAGAATGAACAGAAAGGAAAAAAAAAGAGACTATTTCTCATATCAGATCCTATCACGATTCTTATAATAAAAGGGATAATATGTGGCCATTTCTAAAATTAGGAGCGTAGATACATATTAAAATAACTTTCGTAGTATTTAAAATGGGAATGGATAGAATAATAAATGCATTTAAAGAGATTAAAACATCACAGCAAATTGTTTTGTATGATAAACATAGCTCCGATATCACGACTACAGAAAAAAACAAGATCAAAGATAGAATGTAAATAGATACATTCAGGCAATAACTTAATAAAAAAGAAAACAAAACAGGATAAGAAAAAGAATTATACTCAGGAAAATCTATGACTTATCTGAAAGATTTCATTCGAATTAGGTTTTAGGAAGTACGAAGCATCAGGAAAAACTAACTAAAAAGAAATAAAACAGATTTTTCTGTTTATAAAATGGATAATCCTTATTTACATCCTACGAAATAATAGGAACGAAGTTTAGATCAGTGATTCCTAAATTGAGCGCTGCACCCTCCTCTTGAGGACGATAGAAGACTCAACGGAGTG